AGAACTTATTGTACGTTCATTGCCATGTTCGTCAAACTCAAAACCCTCAAAGTCCAAGTCGGCGTCAATGTAGCCGTCGAACAAAATCCCTACAACTTATTCTTGAAGTTCGTCGATATCCTCCCATACAATTTGGACTTAGCACTTTTAATCCACGGATTTTGCAGCCTGTCAGCTTGGCATTTTTCATTCATGTCTAATCATAACAAGCAGCCTGTCGGCTGAGATAGCTCCGCTGTTAGCAATGCACATGGCAATTAAAGAACAGAAGATATCATTAGAAAATGAACAAATCTGAGAGAGGTCCACATGTAGTACCTATATGTATAATATATCAAAGCAATTGGACTTGCGGTTTTCAACAAGAAGTCGAAAATATCACTTTTTACCAAAAATTACAAAAATATTCACCGAAATTAGAGAACTAAAGATATCATTACAAAATGAACAAATCTGAGAGAGGTCCACATGTAGTACCTATATATGTAATATCAAAGCAATTGGACTTGCAGTTTTCAACAAGAGGTCGAAAATATCACTTTTTACCAAAAATTACAAAAATATTCACCAAAATTAGAGAATTGAAGATATCATTACAAAATGAACAAATCTGAGAGAGGTCGACATGTAGTACCTATATATGTAAATATCAAAGCAATTGGACTTGCGGTTTTCAACAAGAAGTCGAAAATATCACTTTTTACCAAAAATGACAAAAATATTCACCAAAATTAGAGAATTAAAGATATCATTACAAAATGAACAAATCTGAGAGAGGTCCACATGTAGTACCTATATATGTAATATCAAAGCAATTGCACTTGCGGTTTTCAACAAGAAGTCGAAAATATCACTTTTTACTAAAAATGACAAAAATATTCACCAAAATTAGAGAATTGAAGATATCATCATGAAATGAACAAATCTGAGAGAGGTCTACCCAAGGTACATATACACCAAGTATCAAAGCATTCAGGCTTGTAGTTTTCAAGAAGAAGTCGAAAAAGTAAAACATTGACACGGACGACGACGACGGACGACGAACAATCACTCATATGATAAGCTCCGCTCGACAAAGTCGACAGCGGAGCTAAAAAATTGCTGTTATGTAACAATACTGAGATTGTGCTGATATCTTGAAGCAGCAGTAATCTCCACTTCGCTGTGCTTGATAAGTGGGTCCCATGTGACAAATACAATATGTGCAAAACATTGTTCACATGGCAAACACTATTGAGGAAAACAGGTTTGGCAGATAACACACAAATTTGGACATAATTCTATCACAACTTATTGAAACAGTGAGAAAATTGAAAGAAATTCCATTTCGGGCAAGAGATCTTAAAATTACTATTCAACAACTTTTCCCCAGATATCAGAGGTCCAAAGATACAAAAAAGTCAAGATAAGCACATTTTATTTTCAATTTTTTCTGCTAGCATCCATCTGAGAGTTAAGTGCTAACCATACAAGAAAAACAGCAGAGCAGCAAGGGAAATCAGATGGAGAATGAGAAGATCTGAACCAACATTGCCTGGAAGCCGAGATAAGTATATTAGCCTTCACTGAAATGCTATTTTACTTTGATTTAAATTCATGATTGGCAACAAAGAAACGAATTGTATTGCAATTTGTAACAGATTTCACTTAACACCATGAAACACCATCTGAGAGTTAAAGTGCTAACCATACAAGAAAAACAGCAGAGCAGCAAGGGAAATCAGATGGAGAATGAGAAGATCTGAACCAACATTGCCTGGAAGCCGAGATAAGTATATTAGCCTTCACTGAAATGCTATTTTACTTTGATTTAAATTCATGATTGGCAACAAAGAAACGAATTGTATTGCAATTTGTGACAGATTTCACTTAACACCATGAATAGGGGAATTTAAATATACTGAATAATTAATACACTTACTCAAATTACTGGCAAATACTGAATACAATACCTTCCTCAATTTATCAACTTGCGTTGTATTTCTAAAGACGCAAATTTATCATCAAGTTATGAAAATTGACAGAATGTATTTGCTAGATGATTGTAAATCATGTATACTTAATACATAAAATGCATTTATAACCAAAATAAGTCATATTTTAATGATTCATCATACAATAAATGAAATTTTTTCTTTATGTAGATTTATCAGAGATGCACTTCTAAAAAAGTAAATATTGTATTCTCACAAATTTTTGTAATATTTTCTTTTATCAAAAACACGATCTATTTTAGCTTTAGCTTTAGCATTACTTGCTTATGTCTGTGTATGTGTTAATGGAAGCAATCAATCATTTAGTCTATACAGTATCAATTCAATTCGCTGACAAATCTCAGCAGTGGATGTCTCTTGATTCCCTTCAATTCCACTCAAAATACAAGCAATTACTGGGAATTACTGGTAGTAACAATATTGCAAAACATTCATTATTGCAGACAGACTTGATACTAACCCTTCAAATTTCACTGTTTGAAATTTGGGAAATGTCATCGAGCTATAAAATGTTATTTTTCGTCCAATTCATGACAATGTCAATGTCACTGAGCCATGAAATGTTATTTTTTGCCCACTCATGACAATGTTGTCGCCCATAAAATGAAAGTTGCAGACAGTACAATGACAGCCATTGTAATATAAACTGGTTAGATTTCTGGTTTAATCTTATCTAACTGTTTGTGTCAAGTTAATTTGTGATTTGGATTCACACCAAAATCATTTACTCCATAATCTATTTTGTCATGCATCTTTTAATAATGCACCTATATATCACATGATGAAAACTCTTGATACATATGCAAATTAAAAATAACTATCTAACTATTAGAGTTGGCGGATTTTGTTTGTGCTTCGCAATCAACATAATCTGCAGGTATTTTATCAATTTAACATTTGACATAAACATCGAGTACTCGCTACACTACATATAAATACTCGTTGCTAGAATCAGTAAAAAAAACAAGTACAGATTCACATCACACAAATATACAAGTATGCATTAAAGCTGCACTCTGATCATACTGATCGTCACACAGCAGAGGTTGATACAATTCCATACTGTCTCAGTACACTTTGTGGTTTTTATGTGGTAACCTTGTTATATATCTTTCCTGTCTGCGGTAATCATTCAATAAGAGATAACAGCCCAAAATGACAGGGAAAAATTGTCTTGCATTGTGGGAATATACCCTCCAAGAGAGAACTACATTTTCATCACTACAAGGACCACACTGTGAGAATTTAATTTGAGAAAATCCAATATCAGTAACCTTAATTTGTGAATTATACAAGGAAAGGAAATTATTTTGAAGAAAACAACTTTATACAGATCATAAAATTCTATTGTTATTGATACAGACAGTATAATAATTGTGAAATACTTACAAATCTAATGGATAGAAGAAGAAAACAAGGTATTTGCCTGAAAATAAATGAATATTATGATTAGTCTACTATTGACTGCAAGAAGTGAGGGGTGTACGTCATTGCAATAAGTAATACATGTACAGAGGTTGCACAGCGGGCAAGGATAGGCTACCAACACAATGCCACAGTGGCTAGGATAGGGTACTAACACACAATGCCACAGTGGCTAGGATAGGCTACCAACACACAATGCCACAGTGGCTAGGATAGGCTACCAACACACAATGCCACAGTGGCTAGGATAGGCTACTAACACACAAATGTCACAGTGGCTAGGATAGACTACCAACACACAATGCCACAGTGGCTAGGATAGGCTATCAACACAAATGCCACAGTGGCTAGGATAGGCTACCAACACACAAATGTCACAGTGGCTAGGATAGGCTACCAACACACAATGCCACAGTGGCTAGGATAGGCTATCAACACAAATGCCACAGTGGCTCGGATAGGCTACTAACACACAATGCCACAGTGGCTAGAATAGGCTACCAACACACAATGCCACAGTGGCTAGGATAGGCTACCAACACACAATGCCACAGTGTGCTAAGATAGGCTACCAACACACAATACCACAGTAACTAGGATAGGCTACCAACACACAATGCCACAGTAACTAGGATAGGCTACCAACACACAATGCCACAGTGGCTAGAATAGGCTACTAACACACAATACCACAGTGGCTAGGATAGGCTATCAACACACAATGCCACAGTGGTTAGGATAGGCTACCAACACACAATGCCACAGTGGCTAGGATAGGCTACCAACACACAATGCCACAGTAACTAGGATAGGCTACCAACGTGCAATGCCACAGTGGCTAGGATAGGCTACTAACACACAATACCACAGTGGCTAGGATAGGCTACCAACACACAATGCCACAGTGGCTAGGATAGGCTACTAACACACAATGCCACAGTGGCTAGGATAGGCTACCAACACACAATGCCACAGTGGCTAGGATAGGCTACCAACACACAATGCCACAGTGGCTAGGATAGGCTACCAACACACAATGCCACAGTGGCTAAGATAGGCTACCAAAACACACAATGCCACAGTGGCTAGGATAGGCTACCAACACACAATGCCACAGTGGCTAGGATAGGCTACCAACACACAATGCCACAGTGGCTAGGATAGGCTACTAACACACAAATGTCACAGTGGCTAGGATAGGCTACCAACACACAATGCCACAGTGGCTAGGATAGGCTATCAACACAAATGCCACAGTGGCTAGGATAGGCTACCAACACACAAATGTCACAGTGGCTAGGATAGGCTACCAACACACAATGCCACAGTGGCTAGGATAGGCTATCAACACAAATGCCACAGTGGCTCGGATAGGCTACTAACACACAATGCCACAGTGGCTAGAATAGGCTACCAACACACAATGCCACAGTGGCTAGGATAGGCTACCAACACACAATGCCACAGTGTGCTAAGATAGGCTACCAACACACAATACCACAGTAACTAGGATAGGCTACCAACACACAATGCCACAGTAACTAGGATAGGCTACCAACACACAATGCCACAGTGGCTAGGATAGGCTACCAACACAGTGCCACAGTGGCTAGGATAGGCTACCAACACACAATGAATGCCACAGTGGCTAGGATAGGCTACCAACACACAAATGTCACAGTGGCTAGGATAGGCTACCAACACACAATGCTACAGTGGCTAGGATAGGCTACCAACACACAATGCCACAGTGGCTAGGACAGGCTACCAACACACAATGCCACAGTGGCTAGGATAGGCTACCAACACACAATGCCACAGTGTGCTAAGATAGGCTACCAACACACAATGCCACAGTGGCTAGGATAGGCTACCAACACACAGTGCCACAGTGGCTAGGATAGGCTACCAACACAGTGCCACAGTGGCTAGGATAGGCTACTAACACACAATACCACAGTGGCTAGGATAGGCTACTAACACACAATACCACAGTGGCTAGGATAGGCTACTAACACACAATGCCACAGTGGCTAGGATAGGCTTCCAACATATTCATTTGCCATTTCCTTCATGATCACATTTCGTCTATGGTCATCTCTACCTTGAAATACAGTGCTTCAGAATACAATATTTTAACGCATGTAAAAGGGACGCACAAGTTGTGATTGTTGTCATTTAATATCGCATGAACTTTGGTAAATGACACAGGTGTGTCTGGTCAAAATAAGTCTTATTTCATAGTTCAGCATACAATGATTGCTATTTCTAATGCAGCAAATAAGGTGCATCCATATACAGTGCAGCTCAAAACTGGTTTACTAAAATACTTGCATGGCGTTGACGCAATGTTAAAAGTCTAATGCGTATGCATTTATCGATTGAGCGGTTGCGCGACCTGAGGTCAACAAAGGTAGAACCGATTTTGAATATTCTAAACATGCTTGGTCGCAGTAAAACGCTTGTCCATGTTTCCAACTCGCAGTGTAAAGATCACCTCAAATCATCTTTCAACTAACTCGTATTAGCCTCTGAAAATTTGCTGTTCTGCCTAAGCAAGAAAAAAAAACATCCAAATTGTCTTTGGGTATAGCGCAATACTTTCATATTTTAGGAGGTATTTTTGCGAGTTAAAAAACAATCATGCTTTTGAAATGTGGATTTAAATCTACTAAAAAAAGTACATTATGATTGCCGGATTTGCTAAGTATAATGGCACGATATCCGGTTTTACATGAATGGATTGTGACCCTTCCATTTCAGTCAATACTAACTGAAATAATTTGCTAAAAATAAATTACAATGTTCCATTCTCATTGTAAAGTTGGATTAATGAGTGTGCATGCCTTGAACAGAAATGTCCAGAGGAAGGTAGACGTGTGACATTTCGTTTTACTTGTAATAGACTGAGACCATCGCAGCCATCCAATTGCGAATTGTGAATTAATGAAGTTGTTTTGACAATTTGTATCAATTTAACAGACTTAAAAATTATTACCTGTGTTCAAAAACAGAACTGTAAACAAACAAAATGGCCAGCAACCAAAGGTTCCTAATACTGTAGAATACTTTATTTTCGCTTGGAATTTATTTTCGCTATTTTCGCTGAAGGGATGATTCCGTGAAAATAAAATCCAGCGAATATACTTTTTTTCCTATATTTCACATTAATCTCATCAAAAATCAGTGAAAATAAATTCCAAGCAAAACGCCCAAAAAGCCTTTTCAGCGAAAATTAATTCCAGCGAAAATAAAGTATTCCACAGTATGTTGTGGCAAATCAATTTTTTTGCACGACAAGAAAATAACGTGAAAATAAGATAAACCAGGCTAGTGTTGCTTCATTATTTACAGCAACAAATCTGCAAACAATTGACTGATCAATCGATCGAATCTGAAATTTTTCAGAGAAATATAAACTGTTTTCCAACTACACTTTTCCCAATGCCCAATAAATCAACAATCTACTTCTTAACTCGTAACTTCATTTTGAAACCTACTATTGTATCAGATCAACGTTGTGAAATAGTCTTTTGCAATAATCTAACCACACATTGAAATTGTCCACATTTCACTATTCTGTCCAATAAAAAACTGTATTTGCATTATTATTTACAAGCAGTCTTGGATATTTATACCAGAAGCATTCTATCTCAAACATTCGCATAGACCTGAATACTTGTAAATGACAGACTGATATTTTGTGTACCAGTTTCTCTTGGTCTACAATCAATGCAAATATTTAATTCTAATAAAATTGATACAAAAAATATACACAAAGCACAATATTACTAAATTTTGCATTCCCATTAAGTCAGCAGACTCAATGCAGTGTCAGTCGTTATCCAGATAAGTTTATCGCAACCAGAGATGATACCACCAGCAGAAGGTTACTAAAATTATTACTGTGATCGCAAGCACAATTTGCAAAATTTTTTTATTTGAACCATGTAATTTTTTTATTTTCAAAATGAAACTTGTTATAGGACCATCCAGGTGTCTGTTTTGAAATATTTTTGTTGCATGTGTTGTTCATTGTTGTCATTTGCATGCAAACAATGCTATCAAAGTTAATGAGCTGTTTGCCTTAACGCAGCGTTAGAGTGAGCAAGTTTTGAGCTGTACTGTACCAAACACAACTTAATATTTTACACAACGCATGTTTCCTCATATGATAACACAAAAGTCATTTTGGCTTAGTATTACATGGATTAAAAACATAAAAAAACAATCCCACTTATAATGAATTTTGGCGATTCAGACACAGTAGGATTACGAGACATGTACTTTCAATAGTTCAATATCAGGCGTCTCTAAGTCTGATACTTTGTTCCCCAACCATATCAGCATGCAATACCATAGATAGAGAATGGCTGCATATAGATGCTTACCTCTATAATCTGACAATTTGATATCTTTGAAATCTCCGTTGACGACTGCCGCTCCCTTGAATGCTGGAGCCTCTTTACCAATCTGACACTTTCCGGCTGACATGATTGCAATAACTGAATGTAAAGAAATATAATGTGATATTAACAATTATAAAAGTGAACGTAGTATACGGTATATAATGATTTGTTATTGCTTACTGTAAAAAGGTGAATTTCACTGGTTTAAAATTTAGTGGACTTGTGAAGTTGTGACAGAAATAATACATTCTGTGTTTAAATTCACTTACTATTAATGCTATCAGCAGAATAAGTTAACATAAAATCTAGCATTTCATTAAGTAATATACAGAATTGTAAAACTCGCTTAGACTAACTTCCTAAATGTGACTTGCCCCAATTACTGAACACCAATTTAGCACTGAAGCACAAAATTAAAAACAATAAAACAAACTGTGTAAAACACTCAATACAGTATACCTTAGAAAAGTTTACAGAATCAATCCCAGCGTTTTTAGCTCTGGTTTCACTTTAAAACAATTAGAAATTTGTATTAAAAGACTAGAAACAACTCACCACTGGCTGCCACTGTAACAAATCTCTCTTAGAGGAGGACTCACTATTTATAGATATACAAGGGCATTGTGGGAGATTTAATAATTAACATAAATGAAGGTTGCCATGGTTTTTAATGTGACATGCATCAGGAAAATTGATTTGTCATTTATACATGTAGTAAGCAGGACAGCAGGAGTGTCAACTAGATTTTTACAATGCTTAGAAACTAGTGATAACTGCACACATCACTCAAACCGTCTTTTTCAAACAGTAATTCCATTCAGTTCATTGAATCCCATCATATCAAGTTATTAATTCTAGGCATTGTAGGTAAAATATTTTTTCATTATAGTCTTGGAACAAGTCATAGCACAATTTCAGTAATGAGAATAACTATCAGTGACTTTGATTGAAATTAACAGTAGCCCAAGGCATACAAAACCACTAAATCTTGTCCTTGGCCTACTATTTTTCCAAGTTAGTTGCCCTTCCAATGGCTGATCTATTTCAGTCAATAATTTAGTATACAAAGATTTGCAGCTTCTATTTTCTAATTATGACCACAAAAATGAAACCCAAATGTACCGTAACATCAGTCAATACAAGGCAAATCATGCATATAGAACGGTATTACATGCAAATTCAGTACTGGTAAAATGATAAACTTGGTTGTTTTGCTATACACACACTACAGTACTACTAGTTTTATTTATTTCCAAAAAAAGTTTCGACTTTATTTATGATGGAACACATTCCAGGAATAATGTATACTGTTTTAATTTTGTACAAGAAATTCATAATTTCAAAACAAATCGGTGTAAATTATGAAATATTACACAGAGGTTCTAAAGACAATCAATAAACTTCATGAAATGTTGTTTTAAGAATATATGAAATTGCAAACATTTGGCAACAAAAATACAATAGGTAAACAATTTGACAAATTCAACCCACTGAACAAGGAAATTTTTCCCTTCCAAATTTAAAAGAAACATTTTTCACATTTTCATTCATGTATATTTCTATAATTTTGGGGCAAATGGACATAATTTGATTATGATTACATGTGATGTTCAACAGTTTCAGAAAAAGATGTTTAAGGTGACATTCAAAGATTAATGATGGTTCAATCCAACTACAATTGATTCGGCCAGCTTGAGGATAAATCAAAATTGAAACATATATGCCTTATTTTGCAGCATGCAGAAAATTAGGCAATTAATATTATTTTACTTGTCTAGACATTTTTAAATCAGTATAACAGAGTTTGACAGAGGTAGCATAATCCGATAATTACAGTGTCAGTGATCATCTATAGCAAGCAACATGCATGCCCTAGTGGCAACAGCCTGGGATACCCTGCAACTATAGATCACCATGGTTACGGAAAGCTGAATAATAATTAATCCCACTGAAGGGTATTAAAATCTTGTGCATCCAAGTTTTATAGATAAGATTAATGTTTTACATCTAGGGACTACAGCTAATGAAAACTTAATAGGGGTTGCATGCTGGGAATAGGGGGCTCCTGAGATCGACTACCTCTGTTTAAATCACGGACCCCAACAAAATGTTTGTGGTCTCACTTTTCTTTTCTTTTGCAAACTTAGCTATTAGTGCTAGTGAGTCAACGTGCTTGACTCGCATAAATGCATAAGAAATTTGTGCATTAATATCATTTTTTACTGTCATTTCCTTCCTTATATTTCAGCAATATATAGAGATTTGTTTTTAAGTGGCACAGATGTCACAACTGTTTAATATGGTATACAAAGGCAAGATGTGTAAAATATAATTTGTCTACACAAAAATTCATGCGTGTGCTACACGAAAGTAACAAGCATCAGCGGGGTGTTTTCATCCCCAGGTAATCTGAAATAGCTGACTGGGATTTGAATTACTACATTGCAATAAATCTCAACTATCAGCAGGTTGTTGGGACACTTAACAAAACTGCACAGAATATAGCAACATGAACCATGACCATTATGATTAAAATCTACATAGGTGAACATTATCCCTGTTTGCCAAGCCACTAAAATACACTGGTAATTGGCTAAGAATAACAATATAGTTATATTAGTCGCCATAGCAACTATTTTACCCTTCACAAAATAGAGAAATGTACTAATGACACGAGTTAGAATGAGGGATTGCTAAAGGTCTTTACACACTTCTGGAACCTTTTTGACTTGAATTATTAGATGACGTCAGTAGTTGTGATGATGTTATGAGGTTATGGCGTGATGGACTTTTTTATCAAGTATAAAGTCAAACCATTTCTACAGCATTATATACATTCCATTAGTTTACATTTTATGAAAATATTGCCTTTTATTCAAATAAAAAAGGAAATATTGTGTACTTACATGTACCAGTACATCATTATTCAGATCATTACTTTCAGATCTTAATTTTCAGTACTGGTATAAAAAATAAATTTACCATTGCTAAGAGCTAATATGGTGTTTAAATATAAATGTCAGATGATATACAACAAGACTGGTTTTAGTTTTACAGAATGCCTTGGCAACTTAGCAATAAGGGTTAATGCCCTGAACTACACAAGATGATTATTGGTGTAAATAGAACATGATTTGTAATTATAGAGTTCACCACATTAGGTTAGTAGGACAAGCACTGACCAGTGATGCAACTCTCATAAATCAATGTGTTGGCTGCAATCAGTGTAATATTACTGTACCATTTATTGCAAGCATAGAGACTTTATTATTTGAACTGAGAGGTGTTGGTGCAACATTTGTCATAATTTTTCTATAATTTCTTTGTTAATTTTGGAGCAAATAAAAATATATAGAAGTATCAAAACTTTTTATATATATAAAAAAAATGTGCATCAGTAGTTGACAATGTTAACTTAAAGAATGCTTTTGGGAGAATAAAAGAATAAAATACAAAAACAACCTCCCAACCACTATCAAAAGCATTTTTTGGTTTTAATTGCTTATAGTTGATGTTATTTAAAAGATTAATGCAACATAGTACTGTGGAATACTTTATTTTCACTTGGAATTAATTTTCGCTGAAGGAATGATTCAGTGAAAATAAAATCTATTGATTATACTTTTTTTCCTATATTTTACATTCAACTCGTCAATAATCAGTGAAAATAAATTCCATACAAAACACTCAAAAAGTCTATTCAGTGAAAATTTATTCCAGCCAAAATAAAATATTTAACAGTAATCAATGCTTTGTCACGATTTTCAGAACTACATGTATAACAAATGTAATGACATTACAAAGAATGGGAATACAGATTTCGAAATACCCTGGTGCACACTGCACTAAGCACATAGATTATTAGCTAGTGCAAGTAAACTCAAAATATAATGTGCACGCTGTGCATGTAGAAACAACATTTTCTCATTATATTCACTAAGCCTAAATTAAGTTCAACCAACATTGTGAACAATTTTTTCGTGATTGCATCAATCGAGAACCCGTAAATTTTATTTAAACTTTAAAAGTAGTGCATTTCACATGTTAGTGCAGGTAAATTTCAAATTCAACATGCACACTATGCATGCATGGAAAAAATTCTATTTCAATCCCTGGAATACATAGGAAGAATATGCACAGTCCTTCTCCTGGTTAGACCAAGTATAGCCTATGACTTTTAAAATAGATATGGGAGGTAGAAATGGCTCCACTGAACACAATGGTAAATAACGCATTGCAAGAATGATAATTGGGTCTTCTGGGTCTTGATTTGGGTAAATGGTAGGTGAGTAATCACGAGCCTTAAAAATAAGGAATTCTGATAGTGATGGTTCTCAACAGATTATACCTATTATTGGGTATGCTAAAAATTAATCTGGGTATAAAATATACCGGAAGTATTCATTCACAAGAACATAGAGTTAAAGTGTTCATATTCGCCTCTTACTCATCCCATATGCAAATTTGACAAACTACAAGATTAACAAGTATTCAGGAACAAGCTTTGGCAAGGAGATGAAGTACCGGTACTTGAAATAGTTTGCCTAAAAGCTCAGCTACTCAACTGGTTTTCTTAATTGTACGACTTTATAACGTGCTTTCAATCATCAGCAACCCCTTGGCCAAGTGTGACAGCTGGCTTAGACATGTAAAACATTGTGTGCTGATTATTTTTTTCTGGCAGCTGGAAAAATTATTTGTAAAATATCAGCCAATTCGTGAATAAAATACTGTTTATGTTATTACTAGCTGGTGGAGCTGATGTGATCTGCAAGTGTTAAACACAAAAATAGACATTTAAAAAATAAATGAAAATATGCAAAATCGCTTGGACCTTAATGTTTCTTGCGTTTTATGTTACATTTTTCAAGAAAAGAATTCGGGTATCCCTTTTAATTTTTTCACAGCACCCAGTAGAATCTACAAATAAAGGATTTATTTACTTAGCAGTCACATGACCACAGGAAGGTCATATTTTAAAGTAGCACCAATTTTGTATTTGTGTGAATTAGAGACTTTCATAAAATAGGTAATTTGGTTTAAAACAATGTTTCTATGGAAATAATTGGTATGAAATTGTACTTCCTGAAAAGGTCTACTACATCATTAAAATGTTATCTGTATGTAACGACACATGTATTATTACATGCAACGTGTTTAATTCGGGACAGGGTAGATGAGTTCACACCACGATATATTACCCCCGCCAATATAATACACAAACACAAGTTGAGTATGTACACGTGCGAACACTGAACAAGGTCGAATTGAACTTGAAAATGGGTGACAAGTAAGCCGAGACTAATGAAACATTATACCCGCGACAAACCATTGCCGAAACCAGTTATAGGACCAGTTAGTTCTAAAAATACAACTGTATATATATATCTGCAGGTTTGGTCAGATCACATGGACACTGACAGGAAATCAAAGTGGCCAACGTGATACTACTATTAAGTCATCGACACAATCGCTTCGTTCACATCAACTATATAAATAAATAGCTGATAACCTGTACAGGCTATCGCATTGTATGCTTGGACAACACATACTACTCGAACAATTCGATTTACCTTAGTTTTCTGTTCCCTAAGACAGCTGACTTACCTTTCACTAGCGTCGTCCGCTGCAAGCGAGATTTCTAGATCTTTGTAAATGAAATCACGCGGTAATCTCGCGGTGCTTAATTTGCATACGAGAGCTGGGAACCAAATATTAATGATCGGTCTCGGATGGAATCCCTGTCGTATCTCCTGTCAACTTCAGTCTACAATCATATTCGCGTGCTTAAATCATTACGGGAGTATGTTATGTAAGATATACTCTGTAGATACTTTCGTGGGTTTGTGTAAAGAACATAAAACAGACGCAACGTATCACATGGACGCTGAGGGCTCTCTCCTTTGTAATTTACTAGTATGTCCATACACATTCCTTCTATGACCATATTAGTGTTTTGGCGAACGGTTGCAAACGCAGATTTCAAAAAAAAATGTATGTAATCACACCCCTCCCAAAAATACACTTATTGTCCAGCTCAAACACCTAAAACATGGACGAAAAAAATGTCTAATCGATAGTTGCTCAAATGCACATGTCACCGGTGCTTATTGGGCTAATATGGGCTTTGGATATATGGGTACACAAGTAACTCCCGAAATTCTCGCGGGGAATGCATGGTTCAAACAAATTAAAATGATAGCTAATTAAAATAATATGCTATTTTTTGACATTAAGGTTGGATAAAAATTCTTTCTTTTTCGTTTTCATAAATTTGAAATTAATTATATGTAAACAAAACGTTCAATCCAAAATAGGGATAGAGGAACTGTGGTTTAACCGACCAGTGGAAGACAGCCTGAGATGGGTCTTGTTCCGCAACGATACATTCAATGTTCATTTAACCAACAATTATTATACAGTAGAGTTATTGGCGGACTACCATGCATATCAATGATTTCATTTGCATATTTTTCAGCTGATCTACCAATTTTTTAAGAATCCTTCAACATATTTCAATGAAACTTGGTACACATAATGCATATACATGGTTAGGTTACGATATAAATTTGCGGTTATTAATTACCTAATTTGTATAATAATTAGTCAATAATTAGTTATACCTGTAATACGTCAGATTTCAATGAAACACGATACACGGATCAGAAATATACCTAACCAAACAATATACATTATGTGCATGCGATTTTTCAAAACAAGACAACACAGGAAATGTTTTATTAAAAACGAAAATCATGCAAAAATATCGATAGTTACGGGTATTGTCACTTTAATTTACACAAATTAGCCAATTTCCATTTATTAGCTTTTACACTTATCGGTTATCTTGGATTATGCACATATAGGGGATAAGTGTTGTCAGCTTCAATATTGTGGATCACATTATTACGACAAATGCGATTCGCACACAGATTTGTTTTAATATTTCTTCGATTCAGAATTGTCGTTCTTCTTTTTTCCCATCCAAATATACATCGTAAGCCTGAGCCACTCGGTTAAAACTAGCCTTGCTATGCAAACTAGAAAGTAAGAAAAACATAATAGTTCTAGTAAACATTTCGGGTAGGCACGTTGCGCGATTTGTAGATTTACATATAAAAGTAAAATTCTAAAGCAAAAACGCAAAAGTGAAGAACGGAATTTAAAGCGGAGGAGTCGTCACATGCGCATGCGTCAGACGGCCATAGCGTGTCATTGTTCACAAACAAGCGTCTACCTATGAGTCTTTTCGTTTTTATCGTGTGTTGTTATCGTCGCTTGGGACTCAATCCCGCGCGTGCGCAGGTGCCGACCCTCCCGCTTTAATGTTTTAAATTCGAGCATTTGTCCATGGTCTAATTATCAAGATTAGATAGGATATAATAGTATTCGGAAACATACGACTAATTCCGGGAATACCAAAATATGTCCTTCAACACTAAATACACATTACAGTAATTGATAAAAAGTCTACGACTGAGTGTACTCAAATCCACCGAGATTGTGCGCGGGACACCACACAAATATAGAAATCCCATAAATTGTCGAGCGTAAATCCCAATGCACGCCACGAACTTTTTATAAATAGCTCTCAAATGATTCGATTAAAATATCAAAGGCTGATATAAAAAGCCGACCTCCGGTAATTTTGATTTATGCTTCCAGGAAAACAAAATTATCGGATTTACGCTACAAGTTTGATATCTCCATACGAGAAAGGGAACCACATAATACACCGTGGCAAATAACGGTCAATCATATTGGTTATTACTATGAGCAATCAACACAAACATTTCGAAAAGGGGATTTATCAATGTTTCTTCTTTGTTATAATTTTTTATAAAATTAGTTTATTGAAATGGTGGACAGCATTTAGCGACCAACACAACTTTCCTATCTGCAAAACTTACCAAACATCGGAGTTTCCCACACAACTGGCGCAGTTAGAAATCGAAACAATCTTACGAGATTTTTATTTACGACAATTGCAAAATATCGTTACATTTAATAGTGTTAAGATGTGTCAGTTGTAGGAAAAATATTAGGTTTTTCTATGGTTATCTGACCTTCCCTGATATTGTCCGCACAATAGCCAAGTAGCGTTCAGAAAATCCCTTCTGACCCGGGAATACGACACTTAACACACGACTTATTTATCCATTGCTCTTACTATTCAACATCATACGAGTTTCTTAGTCGACAGAAACATCAACGCTGATAAATTCGTTATCAACTCGTGAATTTTATTTCGTCTCGGGATTGTCACAATGTATCAATTCTGTTTTCTACTACAAAAGACATCGATGTCTGAACATAATCATAATATATGTGTTTCTTCCCAGTTTCGATTGAGTGTACATGTACTGTCCGTCCCAATGATGGCAACATATTACAAACACTATTCACGGGAGCTTATCAGGCAAAACGTATTGCGTGTTATTCTCGTGTATTTTAATCGCTATCCAATTTAACTTCCCATCTATTTTCCAGTATTTTAAACAATAAGGATGAAAACATTATGAATGATGTGGCGAAACACATTTATAAATGTTTTAATATACGAGAAAGTCCAATTAAAAGTGACGTGTTTAAACCAACTACTTCAGAAAATACAAATTCGTAATGTTGGATACATTGGGATTTGTGATTATTGTCCTGAACTTTTGTTGTATTTTGAACTGCATTTCACTGAGCTGATCAGGATGATTCTTTGGTCAGATAGAAAAGGTTCTGCTAGTGCACATAAAATAGTTTAAATTTTGTGAATAAGAGTATTATTAAACTACACTTGTATCTTAAGTTTAATTGACTTAATATTTTATTGTACATATTTAATTTCTAAAAAATTATCTGTGTTTTACTAGTTTATGCATTTTTTCAAAGAGTGCTGCCTCGAGTCGTTGATTGACTGTCGCATACATCGTGGTGAATGAAATATCGCCCTCTCGAGGCCATCCATAACACTTCTTTCGTTATGCAAATTTAATCCACCCACGCCATTTTATGAATGAAGTGTTTTATCTTACCCCGTCCTTTCAGTCAGGTGTTCAGTGTATGGAAACCATAAAGAGAAATACTTCAACGATGATGTCATTCTATCCCAATCCATGTTTCCAGATTGTAATGAGTATTTAGAGCATGTGCCCGACCAACAACTTGTGGATTTACTCGGCGTAAAACAGGTGAGTGCGAGAATATTGTTGTTATAGTCGATCGCGTCGTGATGAACGTCGATACGTTCCTGTGAATGATTTCGTCCTACCCGACGGCATAAAAAAGACCATGTCCAACAATGTCTGAATCGTTGGCGTTTGAATGACAACGACTTCCAGCCATTGTATATGACTTCCGGCCCGACGACTTGATTGTGGAACGGTGAATTATCAAGATTGAACTTGGTTGGATGTCCTCCCTGGCCCTGGCCCCGGGCCTTGCCTCGCCTTGAACTTTTAGTTAATGTAGGCGGTATACTGCCTGTTACCGTGCCTGGTTGATGAATCTACTTTCATGGTTTTAGGCTGTCGTCTGTCGGCACGTGAATGATGTAACTCAAATCTGACAGTTGAGTATTTTGTTTAGCAAAAAATGCGCGTAATTGCTTTGGTTTAAAAAAAATCGTTCCTATCGCCAAGGGCATAATATATAACAACATCCACCCACAAGATGCGGACAGTCAAATTTGTGGAGAATTTTCTTGAACATTTTAGATGTGTTTTCTGTTTTAACCGTATAGCAGAATCAAGGTGAGAAATCTCCCACTCCTTGTCCTCATTCGGGGTTCTTATGAATATTGCGTGTCCATGGAGATGGATTAATTACATAATAGAAAAATACAGTAGTTTATCAAATAATAAATACACTTTCCACCAACCTCATTCCAATTTTTCACATAAACCCAGTACAAACTATTTACTTATGATAATTCATAAATGTTTATCACCTGACTAGATACATTGTACTGGTAATACATCTTTGAACAGCCATGCATTTTTAACTTAAATTTACATTTACAGTTGTTTTATGTATAATGTATGTATAATTAGTGCCATCAAATTATATGATCTGCAACTCCTATCAGAATTTATCATGAAATTCCTTTGACAATTTCATTAGCTGTACATTTATCAAATAAATATGCAGCAAAATTTGTCATTTTGAGTTGATTTTGTATCTTTTGTATTAACAAAAATCTGGAACTTCATGTTTTAGGTATTTCTCAAATAAATAATTATCTCCATCTTTCTAATCTTATCATGGCTAGCTATAGAGTTGCAAGGCATTGACTACAAATTAATATCACAGGGCAAACAAGTACTATTATTACTAGTCTAACTGAACTAACACAAATCCACTAGGAATAAATATGTTTTATATAAATATATTAATGTGGCAGAAAATTATTATAAGTGTAAGTGTCAAAACAAGTAAAATATTTAATGATATTCACTGTTAAACATCATGCAGAGCTACCCATCTATAAGCTTTTTCTATTTGGTAGCAAGCCAGATCCCCACAAAAGAAATGTAAATTTCAAGCCATGTCATTATTTTTATTGACTGGTAATGGTATCATAGGTAGACAATATAGATGTAACCTTGAATGCACTATGTATGTGGTTAATGTTACGTAATCTCTATTC